AGACCATTCTATGTATTGCTGTTATATTGGACTGTTCTCCTTAGATCTTCTCTCTTGACTAATTGGGACCCTTGGACAATGACCACTGAACATTGCTTTTGGGACTCTGCTTTTCTTTTTATTGCACATGGAATACATGGTGGACTCTACTTAGTAACCTCCTAGCTGTTTTGCCCTTATGACATGTTTTGTCTACTAACCTTATTATTTAGTTTTAATAGTTTTGGTTACTTTTAGTTACAGACCAGGATATCTGCCTTATATTTCTGTATTGGTATTCTATGGCACATTAACGTACCCATGAATTTATTCTGTTGGGACTACTTACATAACCTTGTTATTTGTGAATTGTAGATACACCTTATTTGCACATATTTACAAAGAAGAAAGGATCATGTTATAATGACCTCATCTGTTTCTCTACAATGTTTGATGCGACGTACACATGGCGTGCGCATAGTGGCTCTTTTCCAGTCAACATCCCTCCAAGAGCGCAATTTTCAAACATCGTTCTATCTGTCTGTCTGTCTGTCTATAGATAAAGTTAAAAAAAAGGAAAGGAAAGAAAAGGCCAGTCACAACCTACTTGGGCTTACATAAAAGTCTGCAAAGTCTAATTGATGATAATTAACCTTGGGGTTTTTAAAAAAAATTAAATTTACACTTTCCGCGTGCTAGCTTAGAATTAATTTAAATGATGGACATTTTACTGGTGTATGCTGCCAGAATAGGATGTTGTTTAAGGAAATACATGGCTCACATCTCATGGAAGAAAATAGGCAACATGTGACACCATATTTCTTATAACATGCATTATATAGATAAAACTTTAAAAAGTATGCAACAATTACATATAGAATATTACAATAAAAAAGATACTAATATTCAAAGTTCCTCCACCTGCACGTCTAGCACAGGATGGCTGTAGTTACAGACAGGTCCTACCTGACCTCAAAGAGACTCACTCCACCAATCAGGAACCGCTCATTCTGGTCCATGAGGTCTGACCTTATCATGCTTGATGTGGACACATGCTAACCATGCTTATTAACAAAGGAATAAGGAAAAGCACATATTGCTATTTATTCCATTAGAGCATATAAAATCTAATACAATGATTAAAGTGCTACTGAGCTGTAGAAATCCTAATTTAAAGGGACACTATAGTCACCAAAACAACTTTAGCGTAACAAAGCAGTTTTGATGTATAGATCATGCCCCTGCCGTCTCACTCCTCGATTGTCTACCATTTAGGAGTTAAATCACTTTGTTTATGCAGTCCTAGTCAAACCTTCATCTCACTTACACAGCCTTCCTAGACACTTAATATAAAGAGAGATCTTATGTTTACACTTTATTTAATGCACATTCTGTTTAATTTGGAGTCTCTCATCTCCTGCTCTGTTTATAGACCATGCAGGAGCTTTCTGTGTGCAATTATGTTTCAATTTACAGAGCAGTAGATAAAAATGTCAAAGTCAGTTAACATCTGATCCAAATTGAAACCGTTTTTTTTCATGCAGGCTGTGTCAGTCACAGACAGGGGAGGTGTGGCTAGGGCTGCATAAACAGAAACAAAAGAAATTTAACTTCTAAATGGCAGAGAATTGAGCAGTCAGACTGCAGGGGCATGATCTATACACCAAAACTGCTTAATTAACCCCTTAAGGACCAAACTTCTGTAATAAAAGGGAATCATGACATGTCACACATGTCATGTGTCCTTAAGGGGTTAAAGGGATGCTATAGACACCAAAACAACTTTAACCCCTTAAGGACACAACTTCAGCTCTTGGCGTTGAAGAACATGGCAGCGCTTACGAGGGACAGGTTCGGGTAAGTTCAATTAACCTTTGCCTGCCCCTTTGGCCTCTCCAGATGGTGACAGTGGTGCTGAATTATGAATATTAGACTAATATAGCAAAACTAAAAACAAAAGTGACTTGGTAAAAAATCCAGCTCAGTTTTTTTAGGCTGAAATTCCTAATAAATTCTATAGTGAGCAACCCCAATAATAGATTTACACTTTGTTATTTTAAAACGCTGAATTATAGCAAATTTAAATTAATATAGAAAAATTGGACTCGAATTTTGTGCTTTAAATCCAAATTGCATAATTTAGGCATTAATAGCTGCTCTTGAAAAATGTATGATCAGAAACTATTTTTAGTCTAAATTTTAATACACAGATTTCGATTTGCTATAATTCGAAGTTTAATAAATAAACCACTACAGCTGTTTCTCACATTTACCACCAGATGGCAGCATTATTATCCCCAGACCATGCAAAATATTTTTACATTTAAATATTACATTGCTGCAGTCGAAGCTCATAAACTAAGTTTAAAAAAAAATAAAAAATGTTTAAGCAAAGATTTTTATTATTTTTACTGTCCCACATAGGTATGTTAAGTTCTTTAATATTTATATTGGTGAGATGTTGCAACACAAAGCATTTGCGACTGCATTAATTGTACAAAATGTTGAGTGGAATCAATAACTTTGCACATTTTGTTTTGTTACTGTGTCTGTTACAATTGAAACCAATAAATCTGATAACAACTAGAAATCTATTAAAATGTTTAAGTGATCATTTCACCCCAGTGTCCATCCATGTATACTTTATCACGCTCCACCTGCTGCATGTTAATATGGAATGAAGGAACACTTTTAGCAAAATGTCACGGTAACTACGGAATTAGTATCAACTCTGACTCTATACTGTCAACATCCCTGTACGTCTAAAGGCCTAGATTTCTGAAATAGTCTTCTTGTCATTCTCTCTAAACAGCACATATTTTTCATTGTTTTTTTATTTGCAGACGGCAAGCTGTTTTTTTTAACAACCTACAAGTGTCTCGCTGAATAATCCACTCAAATCTATTATTTAGCAAATCCTCCCATCATTCTTCTCGTAAGTGTTGTCCTTTGTATAGCAGTGCTGGCCCAATAAATAATGCTGGATCTGATCCTTCAGCGATTCCCATACCTGTATCACCTTGCACATGTTAGCTTTTATACAATGAGCTACATAAATTGTTGGTTGTAAATGTCAGGTAAAAACATTAAAGTCCGGAGGTTGTTTTATTAAAGGACCACTATAGTGCCAGGAAAACATACTCGTTTTCCTGGCACTATAGTGCCCTGAGGGTGCCCCCACCCTCAGGGTCCCCCTCCCGCCCGGCTCTGGGGAGAGGAAAGGGTTAAAACTTACCTTTTCTCCAGCGCCGGGCGGGAAGCTCTCCTCCTCCTCTCCACCTCCTCTCCTCCTTTTCGGCTAAATGTGTACGCGCGGCAGTAGCTGCGCGCGCATTCAGCCGGTCTCATAGGAAAGCATTCATAATGCTTTCCTATGGACGCTTGCGTGTTCTCACTGTGATTTTCAATGAGACAGCCACTAGAGGATTTAGAGGCTGGATTAACCCTATTATAAACATAGCTGTTTCTCTGAAACTATGTTTATTAAATAAAGGGTTAACCCTAGCTTGGACCTGGCACCCAGACCACTTCATTAAGCTGAAGTGGTCTGGGTGCTTAGAGTGGTCCTTTAAGGCATCTCTATGATGTGTTATAATAATATTGACATTGCCCACTGCCATCTGGACTTCTTAATAGAAACATTAGAAGTAATAATTGTATAAAGTCAGTTATCATAGAGCTACACATTCTATAGAGTATCTACTTGGGGATTATGGCCTCGATTTGATAATGTTGTTTAAGCTTTTCAAATGATTTTTTAAAAAACATATTAAAATATCAAAATATACTACTCAGAGAGTCTTGGGGATGTTACAGTTGCTATACATATATAATATGAGAAGGGCTGCTACTGTTTTGTAACGATTCATAACACATGGATAAAAATACACCTAAACCTCAAATCAGATCCCTAATCCAAGGACAGGTGACATTCGATGCCATTAGCACAACGAGGTCCTTAGAGACTTGTCAGCATTGTATGTTTTAGGCACAATGCTAACACTAGTTTTACGTAATCATGGTAAGCAGCCATTAGAAACAATGATTTCAACTCACTTTTCTGTGGCAGATGACCGTTAACCCCTGGTATATGTCCAAAATTAAAGATGGTCCATAAAACCATGTGCTGAAAGCACTCCAAATGTACTGGGAATCCATTACAGGTGACCACCCTCCCGAGGTGAGCTGGACCATCTTTTCTCTGGAGTATGGCTTTTCAGACCTAGATTACAGCAGAGTATGTCAAGGATGCTAAAGTAATTGCTGATGATTGAAGAACTTTCTACAATAATACTTTACAAACCACATGGTAATTATCACTCCTGTAAATCAATGAATAGAAGTGAATTCAACTATCTGGTTCAGATTTAAGGAATCATGTTATGTCAGTGATGACCATCCTTGGCACTGTAGATGTTTGTGAACATCCATGACTCATGATAATCAGCCAGACTTTAAATTAGTTACATTAGTTAGCATCATGGGAAATGGATAGCTCCCTAGTTGGACTCAAATCCCATGGCCTTGCTCTTTCTTACTAATGTCCTTCTATTCTAGGTGCTCAGAATGTTTGGTGTGTTGACATGAGTCAAGACTCATGTGTCCTTAAAGTGTAGTTAAAGGGTTTGTACATTAAAGAGTAAAAATAAAACACTTGGTCCACAATGCAATGGTTCCTGAACCATTAGACATTATGGAGATCTTTCGTGGCAGTAACGGTACAAGCAAAGTCAGATGAAGAATTAATACCCCAGTAGAATTTATTAACTGGGTTCCATTGTCTGAGCCATCTGTGTCAACATTACCAGTCTACTACATCAGATGGCTTTGGATTCACTAATTTACCTTTTCAGTAACATATGTAGCGGTCAGTCATGATATAGCATTTGATGTGTTTGTTGTACCATATTCACCCATTTTTTGTCTGTTGATATATTTTTGCATCCAAAATTAGTTAATTTTGTGTGTGCACTGTCAGTGCTCAGTAACACAGAATCTCAATTGTCCTCTACAGCTAAGTCATGTCAAGACGGAACAGTTGGAATTATCCTGAAGTGCAAAAAAATATACTTCCGAGGTTTGAAAAAGAATGGCAGCCTCCTACTGCTCCTCGATCCACACCGATGACTTGTTTTAGTAAGAAAAAAAGTGCGGTGAAATTACCGCTACTTAAGGAAGAACCTACCAATTTCAAAGAGTCAAAGAAAAACAGGGTTCAAGAGGTGAGACTCTGCTACAGGTATAATTTACAAATAAATGATCTGAATGCCTTGAGAAATAAGTTACATGAGCGTGTCAAGGTACCGCTGCCTAAGCCAAAACCAACGCGAAATGGTTTTGTGACTTATGCGGTTCATCAGGTTGCTCGGACATTTGCAAAAACACCCAAGATGCATGCCGTTGTTCTTCAGTATGGAGGACCTGAAGTCTCCAATGTAGGAGTGCCATTTTTTATCGAGAAAGGACTTTTCAAAGAAAAGAATCCCATACATCTGAACATTGGACATAATAGTTCAACTGTGGAAAAAACGTTTCACATAGAAATGCCGCAGAATAGATTAAGAGTTGGAAATTTGGGACCAGGGAAATGGCAGACAGAGTTGCTCAAACTGAAAAAGAAAGACATATTTAAAATATAATAGCAAACATATGTCAAGTGATACAAATGTGAGAGTGGTAATGTAATTGGATTGTGTTGAGACAGAACGTGGGTTCATGTTGACCAGACAGGCTGAAACCAAAGTAGATAAATAATATGAATACATCGACCAGACGTAGTGAAACACAAGAAAGCAATAGACTCAATGCAAACAGGAGCAGATGGGAACCTGGAATAGCTAAAGGCTTATTAAACGCAAAGTAAATCTTTTCACCTTGCAAAAGGCTCTATCATAATGAACCCGTCTGCCTCTGAGAAATATGATCAGGGATTTTTCCAACCTTGAAGAGAAACGGGTCTCCTATGTCTACAAAAAAAAAATCTTTCATATCAAACAACTTCTATTCCTTTGTGATGTTTTGCAGGATTTATACAATGTACCTTTGGCAGAACATTTCCACTGCATTATTTT